CACGTCAAGTCAGAAAACCAAGGGTCCGTTTGGATGTAGGGGAAGCGTTAAACTGTCAAACGGATATCGTCACGCACAGACTCCAGTCGTTATTCGACGCACCACTAACATGTTTCTGTACGAAATCTGTCTAATTATATATAAGCGACGAAAAAGTAGAAAATTTTCGCGTTAGCGTTCACTCACTTGTAGCTGCCTATATATGATAGATATAAACTGCAGCGTGAGACATTACGTCGCACAACGAGCATTCCTTCTCCGCTGGACGAACTGAAACGAATTACGAAAGATTCACGAAGAGAACCGTGCTTGCACCTCGACCCAGCCGAACTCTCCCGATCTACCGCCCGTCACTGTGCTGTGATTGGCCCATTTTCCTCTAGTCGACTGGACGAAATCCTGTCTGTACCCCCACCACCGGCACCGCGTCAAACTCAAAGGTAAGAAATACGGGTGATTCGTGACGTTTACCTTTAACAATTTCTAACCGAGTAAATCCCCCTAATAATTGCTTTCCTCCTTTCTTTTTCCTTTTAATGTTAAGTAGACATATAACTATATACATAAATTACGCGGTATATATATTAATACACCCAAGGAAACGTGTACATGCCAAGAATATTTCTATCGGAATTTTCGACGATTGTTCTAGGTCGATTTGTTCCACTTGACTAATCGATGTACTCTCGATGCTCTTTCTGCCTTTCTCGAGATTCGTGTATCGTTCGCTACGATTTATGATACTACTTCAAAATAGAAACACGTTTCGTTTTGGACACTTTAATAATAAGTCAATATAGTTTTTAAGTATTAATCGTATATTGTACGGTGTACATCTATATATTGATTGAGATAAAAAGTGTGGTTATTGAAGAATGAGTGAAATATTAAAAATAAGAAAAGCCGTTTTATATTTCCTCCTTTCTCATTCCAAAGTGGACATTATCGTTCGAACAATAACTTTTACTCGTTATCACTAAAAGTGTATAAAATATATCTAATATGACCAAGCTACGTGTTAACACATTTTTTGTATTTATTTAGAAACTGTGCTCACCCATAAGAATATAAATAATATTCTATATTTAATACTTACTACTTGTTAAAGTTTGTAACATAATATGTCCATGTCACGTTAAAGTAATTACTGAATTTGGTCATGTAATAACCATTAAGTAAATTGCATTTGATATTTAATTAAACTTAAATTAATTGTTGTATCATGAAATTTATATTCTTATTAATTCTATTAACCCGTAGTATTTGACATTACTTTAAAAAGTTGCGGCCATTTAAGTACAGCGAATAAAAACATTTACTCCTCTTATATTATTTAAACTAATCTGAAACGGATCATTCGATGGCTAAAATAAATAAAATAGCAGGGCATTGTACTTTCACTTCAATACGTTCAGATATATCAAAATTCTGACAAAAATATTCCTAACCAATATTGATCGTGCAAGATAAAATGAAAATTTTTGCCATGGATGATAAACGATGAAATAACAATAAAACATCTTATAACGATCAAGTTAAACAATTCAAATATTTGCACTTTTTGAAAAGTTGTTAATCAATTAGAAGAAACTGGTTCATGTTGTGTAAATTAGAATCTCGTTAAAATTCTGTTTGTCTCGACAACATCACGCGGAACAGCACTGTGTACACTGGCAATTAATACTAGAAACATTAGATATGAAAACAGCAAACATAACACATCCATGTATTCTCAGCTGTTTGCATATGGAAAAACAATTCCAGTTGAAGCATGTACTAAAATAACTTCAATAAAAGGAAAAAGAAGCAGATATATGTACACATATATATATAATGGATTCACACACGAAACGTGCACTTTATTTCAAATATAATTCAACCTTCCAGAAAGTGAATCAAAAATCTTATGTACCTGATTAATAAATATTTAACTTATGCGCCTAATCACGAGCAATATTTCTACATATGTTCTTAATTACTAAATAATATTTAATCCTGGACTCATAATTATTAAGTGTTTATCCCCTTGTATTTAACTGTTAAACAATAATATTATTAAATAAATTCAGAATAGTTTTCAATTGTAATTCAATTCATTTTAATTTTGTAATGTACATTTTAAAATACTTACTAACTACGTATAACGGAGGAAAATTTTATTATTTGACGAATAAATTTGACGATACTAAAACAGATCTATGTTTTCTGAAAATTGTTCGTTACTTTTAAGAATCAGTATTCTATGAAATTGTTTACAGTTATTAGCCACTATAATGACAAACATCTTATCAAGTGTTTTCTGTAAATGTTTTGGAAAATTAGTCCATTGCCAGTTTTGGAAAAGTAAATTGGGAAAGGCTGAAAATAATTTATTCATGATCACCCTATTCAATGTGATTAAAGTTTAAGAAAAAGGAAATTATTATAGCACCAAAAATAATAGCTCACAAATATTAAATTACGTTAAAGTAATGTTTTATTTCTCGTGCAAATAACAAGATACCATATTATCAAACACTATGGGAAACAATCTAATATCAATATTATCTGTAATAATATCTCTAATTCTAAATCTGGCGGATTTTAATATGTAAATGTATTAAATATATTCATTCTTCATTAGTGGTATCAAATTAGCTACGAAAAATTGCTAAATGAATACACAGAATTTTGGAAAAAAGAAGGCGAACGAAATAGAAGCTCGTTAATATGAATTATTTTATTTTAGGTGATAGACATACACGTGTATCCGCTTATGATACTTACAATTTATCTCAATTTTCTTCTCCACGTGCTCTACTAGCGCACTCCCACACAGGGTTCCACGTGTCAATGGATATATGCAGAAAAACCACGTGTAACGAACGCATAATAGATTCTTATACACGTGCATAATCTTGTATTCAATCTTATAAATTATAATAATAAAGGGGAACAGTCGTATATTTATGCACTGCTGAAACATCACAGAAAAGTTACGTGTTTCGATTCTACCAGATTCTTAATTAATACATAACACGTGAGACATCGATGACCCACAATATCATCATAGGTATCACTTGCATTAGACAAAGATATTCTTCGATCTACAGTTCGAAGAAAAGATGCAGAGTGTGTAGATACAGAGGCACAGAGGACAACAGATACAGAGATATCCACTGTGGTGACATTTCAATAATTTGTAATAAGATGAGAAACAAAAGTTATTAACAATTTGTTAAATTTAACCACATGATTTTCTCGTTATATTGTTGTTGGGAATATTACAGCAAATCCAGCCAGTATAGAATAAAACACTTTGGTTCGTGTAATATTAAACCAGTAAAAAAATCAAGTACTGCCACTATTTATCTGTAATTAAAGAGAGATTCTGGTTTAGAGGTAAAAAAATCGAATGTTTTTCTACATACATATATTTGACATTATTTTGGTATATGTATTTGTAAAATGATTTTCTGAAATACGAAAAATCGATATAATAATTAGATCTTAAATTATTACATTTACTCGCATTCGCAAAATTGAAAGATATATTAAGTTTTGAGGGATTTATCACATTTTTGTACATCCATGTAAGTGTTACAAAGTATGCTTAAATTTCGCATCAACTTTCAACTTTCCAAATAGCATTGTGGAAACTCTACGTTAAACAATGTAGATAAATTCGATAATTTCAACAGAAATGTTTCAAATAGCCACTAACATTATCTTTAACAGTATCATAATGTCTTAACTAATTAAATAGAAATGAAAAAAATTTCCTTTAATAATTTTCTAATTTTAACCAGTCAAACTTATTTTCAATATACGTCGATATATGTACGTATTTATGCATGTAGTTTCAGTACTACTCTAACAACTTGTTCAAACAAGTGGCAATTAATGAATGAAATAAATCAAAAAGTCATTGACAATTTAACACAATTGTTATTGTACGATTTGCAGAGTACACGTTACTTATTACCAAACGATACCCTAATCTTTTAAATTTTTCCAAAGTAGTAGATTTTAATGTATAATTATAATATACAAATTATAGTATATTATTTCACCATAAATTAATTAAATTTGATGCTTTGGTAAACAACTTTAATGCAGATTTTAATATTTTATTGAAACACTATTTAGTCTCTGTAGATATTAAAAATGATTCTAATAAAACGATACCGTTTTTTCTGTTTGAAAAAATAATATAACGAAGAAACAATTCTTTTCCTGTGTAGGATAGAAGCTATGAATAGAAATTAAGTCTTTTTTTATTTTCGTTTAACTTACAGGATATTGATTTATCGAACTTCTGCACCATACCGATAACGTTCAAACGAGGCATTTAAATTACATTAACCCTTCCCCTGACGCAGCTTACTAAATATCGATGAAAAGTTAGCATCACGTGCTCTGCAGTCATGCTACAAACAAGGGATATAATTTAAAGTTATGTGGAGCTAAATGTCCCCTGTAACTATAACAGAAAGAATAAACAATACTGATTTATTTTAAGGAATATTTTACTTCAATTACTTTTCTTCTTAAAGACGAATATTAGTTCCTTAGAATGATAATTTCTTAATAAGTCTCTTTCAATGTAAAATATGTTAAAATGATCAGAATGTATGTTAATTTGAATTAATTATAAATTCGTAAATTAGTAATTAAAAAATCTTACGAAGAGCAAAATACTTTTGTAACAAAAAGAATAGAAATCGTTACATAACTTTTAACATAACATGCAGCTTTTAACAGGACCAATGTCTCAGTCAGTACGTCTACTCTTTCATATTTTATTCATAGTATGTTCTTAATAATCCATATGCTTTTGTAACAATTTCATATTATTCTCGAAATTATAAATTCCAACTTGTATTAAATTCTTATTATTGAGGACCTCTATAGCATTGGTTACTTTAAAAACTTTTTCTACCGGAGCTTGCGCACGATTTCCCTCAACATGGATTCCTCAAGTGGTGCACATCCCCGTCTCCTTCTGATATTCTGTCAATTGTAACGTCTCTAGAAAATAATAAAATAGATCTAGTCTCTATTCTTGTATATTGTTTAACATCGTTTAGTATAGAACGATTAAGTAATCGCTACTTGATAAAATGTCTCAGGCCTATATTCACGCCTGCGAAAGGGCGGAATTGTTAGGATTGCCGATACCGAACGAAGAAGAATGGAAAGAAACGCAGAAAATAGAGGAACAAAATAATGCCCAAGACGATGAAGATGAAGCAGTGATGCAAGTAATTATAATACCATCCCATTAGATAAAAATTAAAGTAGCAAAAAATAGTGGTTTATGTTTTTTTACATGGTGTAAGTATAATGTTACTTAAAGTTCTTTAAAAGCTGAAGTTTTTACGATTTTTTATATACATATAACACTTTATGTGTACCTAAAATATAATTTCTCAAATAAAAGTATTTTTTTCTATATACATATCAAATTAGAAATTTTACAATTTTATTCAGCAAAGTTAAGATTAATTTTAATATAATTTATAGAATTTGGATTCTGCACATGAAGCTGCACAACGAATTGGTGGTGGATTAGATGAACTGAACAGTATTCTTATTTCTACACAGAAAAAGATTAACAGATTCAAGGTTAAATGATTAATTATACTTTTTTTTTTTAATAGGATTATTTTGTTTTAACAAAGATAACATTAATAATCATTTCTAAAAGTCATTGTTAAACTCAAAAATTTATTTTCATATCACTTTAAAATTCTACTTTATAAAACAAAGGTATTTTACAGACTGTTTGTGGCAGTTTGGGTACTCTACTGAAAGTAAAAGGGGAATCAAAAAACAGTACACCAGATCATAAACTCACTGAACGAAATCATAATGAGGCAAGAGACGTTGATCCTGAAACATCCACAAATGAAGACAACTTGACATTAGAATTATCCAATGATAAGAAACAGATGGAAAACACAGAACCTAGCACAACAATGCAAAAAAAAATTGATCTCAATAAAAAGATGGGTTCCCATTTGGATAAATTAGATTCTCTCATTACCAAAGCAGAAGATGCACAGTATAGTATGCAATATCAAACAAAACAAATTAAAAGATTCTTAAAGTAATTCTTGACATACAAAAGTAGTAATCCATTCTAATATCAGGCCTCTTCCAAGCAAATTAAAAAGTTTATTTATCTATTAACACGCTTAATGAATTATAAGATTTTTATTACTAGATATGTAAAGAAATATAGATCATATAATGATATGTATACAAAAATCATTAAATTACTCAAATGTTTATTAAGCACATATATGCATGTGTATAATGGAAATGTTACAATTTAAAAAAGCAAATATTTATTTTGCTTAATTGCTTAAACATTTCAACTGCATATCAGTGTGCTATGTATATAATATACACATCTCTAAACACACACATGATTGCTTTTCTAAAATCTTAAGATAAATATATTCAACTAAAGAATGATAACTATTAGATAACATCGGGTAAATGTTCTTCCTAATATTTTTGTTAGATTATAGCTATATGATATAATGAAATACCATCATAATATAATTCATGTTATAATTTTTCATTATGAATTCAAATATTCATCAATATTTGAAAAATGATTACATGTTGGAAAAGATTCTTTCTATGAAAGAAATTACAAAATAATCAATGTTAAATATTAGCTATAAAAAATGGTATGCATATATTTTTCGTTAATAATTTAATTATAAACATTATTAATTATAT